GTCAGCGGTTGCTTAGGCAACTCATTAAAGTCCATCTCTGTAACTGAGGGCTTTTACACTAAGGTTACTGCTGGCTAACAAGCCTGGTGCGCTCAGCACTAAGACTACCAAGAAATCTTACACTTTTATGTGTTTTGCAGGCATCTTGAGCCAGCATTACTCTATTTGACATCGATCCAATTAATCACGTTGCTAAACACATGCGGGCATTTTGCTTGCGCCTTTCCGACTGCTTGCAAATGATCTGTTCTTTCGGCACAGGTTTCGAAGAATAGCGGACCGATCAGACCGTCTCAATGCCACTCGCGAGCGCCCTCATAAAGTGCATCTCCAAGCCCATTTCGGAGAGAGGATCGAAGGATATAGATTTGGCCTTTGAGTGGTTTAAGAAATTCTCCGATATATATGATGATTCAGAGACTGGCAATTTCATCTCCACCAGTTTATTGCCCTTATTTTGCAGAAAATCTCAGGGACTTGATCAAATACTGTGAATTGGCTGTGGCGTATCCGGATGAAGTCATTGTGAAGCAGCATGATAATGTGGATGGGTAAGAAACAATGCTTTTTCCCCTACCTTTTACCCCGAACTACTCCTTTCGGGCACAGAAAGCTCCAACAGCCTAAAGCCTCGTAATTTTGAGCGGCACGCATAAAATATTTATAGATATAATGCCGTTTTGCCTATAATCTGCTAGCGACTAAGCGACTGCTGGGAGGGCTCGAGAGTCAGCTCCAAGGTACAACGGGTCGAGTGAATTCCGTACCTGATCGGTGAGCGTTCATCCACCATTGTTAATATTCTCTATCGAAGCCGACAAGACAACGAGTTCGTGGCGCAGTGGGTTAGAGCGTCGAACTTCTAACCAACAGATCGTTAGTTCGAAACTTGGATGATGCACAACCTTGGATTGGGTATGGCTGGCTGATAACGGCTAATAAGCCAGAAATGAGCACTCCAGCCTCCCTTGGCTTTGTTAGTAATATCTTTCTTTCCTTGTGTATGTGACAGAGGATAAGCTGATGGTGGCAAATAGACCAGAAATGGCTGTTCCAGTCTCGTTTGTTTTTGTCGGTTCCACCTTATCACGCACATATATATATATTTACTCAGAAATGGACGCACGCCGATCCAATTGGCTTTTCGAAGTGAACAAATTCCGTATGGGCGGTAGAGGTCAAGGATAGGCAACCGCCTGTCAGGCTGAAGCCGGCCAAGCTATGATAGCAGACAGTGATGACAGTGTTTGGGGGTAACTTGATGCAAAACTGTTTCGGGCTTCTTTGCCTTCATTCAACCAAGCACAACCCTGGGACTGGAAACACAAAAATACGCGCACACACAGATGATGATGGATACATAGAATGACACGGCTAGGTTTACAGCTTTACAAAGTAAGTAAGCTCCGTTTACTATAAAGGCACATGCACCTTACAGTTTTTATAAAGTATGCACTACATTCAGACTTCCATCTTGGTGCATTATTTTGGTTCGCGGAAGAAAATAGACTTTTAAGAATTCCGTGCAATATTTTTGTCCTTCTGATAAGCTCTACCTTTTAATGTTGTTGCCAGCTCTTTTTCGAATCCGAGTATTGAATTGGTTAAGGCAAAAACACATACTGATCTGACCATCTAATTTTATTGTCATTTGTACAATTAAAAGTAGAGAGGAAAAGGAGTTAATCCACACCCTGCAGGTTTGAATAATTATCCCTTTCCTCATGTTTTATCATCTTCCGGACAACGTACAATACCGAATACAACTGACAGTCTGCTTAAAGTAAATGGGGCTTTGCATACGTGAGACAAAAATATCGGCAGAATAAGGCGCCAAGTTAAAATCAGAAATGCTTGGTAATTTTATAATCGGGTCTGATTATTAGTAATAATTGCCTTTTACCTCTGCAAGCATTCAATTTATCAAAATTTCAAGATACCTTAGATGGATCCTTCTGTGCAATGCTAACACCTGCACTGGATCCCTTTATAGACATTGCTAGTCAGAAGGAGTTAAATTGTTAAATAATGAGAAAAATCAGAATATTTTTTTGGATCTGGAAGAAAGGGAGCTGGTGTCAATAAAGAAAACTTTGTTAGGCGATAGGGTGGATCATATTTCATCTGCTATCGCCCAGACATCTAAGGGCAAATGCTAAATGTTGTAACTGTGGCACTGTGTGGTGTCACCGTCGAATTACGCCCTTTTGAATCCCCAAGGAAGAACACAATAAGGAGGGCGTAACTGTGGAATCCACCCGGACGAGAGTTATTTGTGTACAAAATCCCGAGTTGCTGTCTTGGGTAGCAGTTGTCGCCGACGTAAAGCCAGTGCGCTGTATGTCCCGGCCTCGGGGCGAAGCCCGACAATGGGGCGGACTGGCGGTGCCCTTGTCAGTCCATGTTGCATCTCACTGTCCGAAATGCGACAGTGGCTTCTTAGTGATTGTCAGGCGCGTTCGCTTGTAGCATGATTGAGCGCGTTGGAATAAGGTCACCTGCCGGCTGATGTGCCTAAGTGGCCCTTGAGGAACTGTGACCAGAAAGGAAGGCACGTGGGGTCTCGCGTGTGTGAGGGAATATCGGTTCGAGCGGTTTAAGGTCATCGTGTAGGGACAGTCACAACGAAGACACAAAGACCTTGCGGCAGTATGCACTGACAAAAAGGAATCGTTGTTCGCAGTCCACCGCAGGCGCGACGCGTCAACAAAGCCGGCAAGGCTATACTGGCATTCGGTTAGGCTAGACTCCTAACACTAAGGCCATGCATAAATCATCTATGGCCGACCCTGAACTCTGCTTTGACTAACTGCATATGTATGCGTGTGTCTCCTGTGCGCCCAGGCCCCAACGAGACAGACATGTTCTTTAACCAGATCGGTGGACACCCTACTGATCGCAACCGACAAAAACAACGGGCCTGTAGCTCAACTGTAGAGTTTTGCACTCTCTGACCAAAGGATTGCGGGTTCAAATCTCGAGTAATCCACACTTAGAATTGGTTATGACTGGCTGATGACGGCTAGTAAGCCAGAAATAGCCGTTCCGGTCTCCCTTATCTTTGTCGGTTCCACTCTATCAGGCATTACAAGTGGCCATATTTCGCCTGTTGTCTACAATACAAATCGGCGGCCATCTCTCGAATCGCAGACGATTTAACAGATGGACTTCAACAGCTCGACAGCTAACGAATCGAATCCCTCATCTGGTTTCCCTTAGCAATTAGTTGACAGCAATCGGTTGCCGTGCGCTCTCGCCTGTTGCTCGTTTTTTCTCCTAAAGGAAGCAAACACTTGTGGACACTATTTCCGACACCAGCTTAGGCCTGTTAAGTCCGTTCGATAATTTCTTTTTTGTATGTATTAAGGTCTACCTGAGGCCCTCACGAATGATCAGTTTGCTTCTCATCAGATTCCCTGAATTTTGTATTTCCCCTAGTATATTGATTCTTATCAGTGGAGCTGTCTCAATGTTCACCAGTTCTGAACATCGCCGGAAGAATGGCAGCGGCGGGGCGCATTGCCTACATTTTTGGAAAGAATCTGGGGACCCCAACTCTGTCAAGTTGTCTAAAAGCTTCGACTCCAACGATAATGCAACAAGAGTGCACCTCGATCGGTCAAAATTGGGCAGGTTTGTGGGCACTATAGGTAAGTTTTTTTTAAATATTTAACCTTTTCGGAGGTCCCGAAATTTAATTTTTATCCTTTGAAGTGTTTACGACGGCCCGATGTCGGACGAACTCACGACGGGGGTTGTTCGCGTGGTAGAAAGTGTCATGTGTGAGCGATAACCCTTGGCTCCGATCGAGGTTTGGAGGCTGTATTCGATTTTTCTACGGTGCGATAGCGGCAAAAAGGGTGATTGTAGTTGATGTCCTCTTCGGTGATAACTAACACGCCGATAAGAAGAAATAGTTGCGTATCCTCTCCATGAATCAGTGCTTTGAAGATGAACATCACAGAGGCGATATGCTCGTAGGCCTTCATAGTATGCATCGAGGTCAATAGGCCAATTAATGGCGTCACCGCCAGTCAGTCTAAACTTGAGAAATCGATATGAATGATCAGTGTGTCTCTAGTAATAACGTCGGTAGTCTTTAGTAAAACCTTCATTAATCGGCAAATCCTTTTATCCAGTTGCTATACCACGCGATCGCTTGCCTTGAGTCAGAGTTCTCGGTGCAGCGTTTGCTGCAATTGTCACAGACAGCTTCTAGGTTGCTTTGGCCCCAGGTAGACTACGGGTTACCAAATCATAAGGCAGTTAACTACAGTTTACTTTGTATACAGATAGTAATCTCTAGCCTCTTGCATTATTTACAAACAAAGGTTTTTATGTTCCCTTAAGTACGTGTTTGTTGTTCGATTAGCACGCTCTAATTCCTTACTATAAACTGGCTTAGGAGTAGAAATTGGACTACATTTTAGTGCTTTTTTTGCGCTTACATCAACAGTTTACGTTCATTACCCACTGAAAGGCCCCAACTATAAAACTCCTATTACCACCCGTCCCGTATTACAATATTTTGGGGTTAGCGTTGCCTTAGGTGCACTACACAGCCTACTGTTGCAATCAAAACTGGATCTGCTGTCGGGAGCCCGCTAGTGTAAAAGGCCGTTTGGTCATGTCCAGAGCCGAGGTATCCAAAATTTTATGCCCCTTTCTTTCAACTGTGCGTTTATTAATGAGATGAAGTGTTATTGAAGACCCAGCGAATACAATGTCAACAAAACAAAGGTATGAATCGAAATTCCTGCACCGACTTAAACTGCTTCGAACACGCATTGATATAACAGAGGAAGATTTTTATTAACTGTGTAAATAATTAAATAGGAGAGGTGAACCACATCTTCTGAAAGTCGAGCACAGTTAGAGTAATTAGTTACCCCTTCAAACTAATAAATGCAAATAATCTATTTGAGCAAAGAAGGCTGGACGAGCACCTGAATAGCTTGTTTATGGTTCTGAGCTTTCAAACTCCTACAGGAGTTCTTAATCAGAAATAACAACACCAATAAAATAGGTGACAATTATAGGGAATGTAAACCAATCTCTAACGATTACCTTTTGTACGAGTTTGAAAGGTTAGAAGCACAAACAAACTGTTCCGTTCCTTGCCCAGCCTTCTCTTTTACTCAGGCAAACCCCTGGAAAACGAACCTCTTGCATTAATTCGTAAATAATCCACTGGTTTGCAACCGAACTTGAAAGGTCCATCTTCGGTACTATCAGATAAATTTATCTGAATTAGGCGCCGCAAGGCCGACTGAATCCCACCATCACAGCCTCCGCTCCCCATCTCAGCACTGATCACTCGGCTTTATCCAAGCACAGCCTCTACAGCCGTTGAATTAAATGACGAGTATGTGCTCATGTTCTATGCGGTAAATAATAACTGCCCACCCGGTGATAGTTCGACCATCGATTTCAGTTATGTACACCATGTGCCCAAGAGCAGGGATGGTGACTGGAGACGGGCGAGATTTGAGTGAAATAGACGCGTAACTGTCTACCTCACTCTAAAACCTTACCAGTTTGAACCGAGGACAAGATAAAGTCAAGATGACCGAACGGCCGCTTTCTCCAATGTAGGCCAGAACACCGCCTAAACTTGTCTTAAGTTGCATTAGTCTTTTGCATTAGTACTACCGCACCATTTACCCCTACTCACCTTCAGTAGGTGTCAAAACATACGCAAGAAAACCAAGACTGGTACCACTACCGCTACTGCTATTTCTACAACTACTAACTAGGAGTGTAGCTGAGTGTTAGTAATATAGGCACTATTTCTGACGTTAGTATTTGTCAGAAGTGTCGCTGATTAAAGTCAACGCTGGGGCTCATATCACCTCGATCTCAACAAGGAGGGTGAATCTGAGTTTATGCTATAACAAGTAAATACACGTTTGAGGACAGGAGCAAATCAGGATTTTCCTTGGTTTCCACCATCTCACCTCTTTCCACCAAAAGCTTTGTCACATTTTACTAAGTTTGGGCTAGGATACTGCTGCTAGAAGTACTATGCCACTGCTAATAGTGCTAATTCTGGTAATCAGGCTTACTTAGACCAGCGTATAATATATTCCTATAATTGTATTAATAGCTGACATGCATCCAATTTTTGCAACAAGCATAACAGATGGAAATATTAGCGAAGCTGGTCCATTGGCTAT